CAATATTGTTTTATTGATAATTAGTTGGTCCTTGTACCCGTAACTTCCTCTTTTACTTCCATTCTATTATTATTATTATTATTACTATTATTACCATGTAGCCGAAGATCATTTTTCTATTATTATTATTATTATTACTATTATCAATAATCTTCATCTTATATTCTCACATATGCATGCTTATGAAAATACCAATAAGACAAACTGGAAAAGTTTTCAGCCATGACCACCCGACCTTTTAGTTGGCATCATCTCCTCGGAATGAGAGACACTCGCTTAAGGCTAAAGAATAAAGAGAAGTCAATAAAAGTTTTCCCGGTGCCACGACAAAAAGATTGCTGGTTCACGCACTGAGGGAGGCCATTAATGTCTGTTGGATTTTAAATGTACGATACTTCAAAATCATTAAATATTAAACATTGAACAAAACTGCAAAAACAGGTGAAAATCTTGTGATTTTCAACGGAATTTCTGCTCGCACACGTCAATTAAATAAATATATATATATATATATATATATATATATATATATATATATATATATATATATATATATATATAGTCACAACACATTACATTGCATCTAGACATATGCTTCTGTTGTTAATATTTCGGTCTCTCGCGTGGTATGACTTCAGACAACAATATCTCGAACTTACGACATACGTCTGTTATTCCGCGACAGTTATCTTCACATAGCAATCTTCTCTGTTAACATAACAAAATATCATCCTCGATGGCGAATATCTTTATTTAAATGTCCGTATAACAACTCTAAAGATGAGATCTCAGATTAATGACCAACTTAATAAAAAATATCCAAATTTTGGACAATTTTTTGTCTTTATATTCACCCGAAATTAAAGCAAACATACGAACTTCAAAACATCTCATGGTCAGATATAATAGATATTCATTGTCCGTTATATTTAACATATAACATATTTATATATATATATATATATATATATATATATATATATATTAGGGTAGGTCGATTTTGTAATTTTTTTTAAAATATCAAAAAGAATAATGTACGGAAAGTTGTGTATCGACCAGTTAAGTACTGATACAAAAAATTAGATTTGTCACTTCAACGGTTTTTTGAGCATTTGGCATCAAAGATCGTAGACAAAAAAGCACTGAAAAATCCACGATTTTGCAAGATTTAGACTAAATATTGATAAAAAAACAAACAATTTCACTATTTAAATCGGGGAATGTTGTTATTTTGTTTTAGCAAAATGAAATAAAATTAGAAATTATAAATAAACTTCAAATTGAAAATTTGCCTCTCCCCTATCACTGATGATTTTGAAATGCTGTTTTTACCTCATGAATTAAGCAGTATTAGTTGAATACATTAAAAAATTGATTTTTTTCTAGTTTGAATGAAAATACAACAAACAAACAAATATGAAAAAGTAAAGAATAGTTTAATAGGGCTTAATATATAGAGTCAAATAGCTCCATATAAGAACCCTCAGATGAAATTGATGGTCACAATTTCTGACACAAAGCTTTTGATATTATGTGCTGGTGCCTTGCTTCAAAGCCATACACAGATTGGGAAACTGCTGTTGTTAACTTGACTGCCCGTTCCATGCCTTGAGAATGGGAGGGAAAATCTATAAGTCAAGTTTCGTACCATTTAATAATTATTCCCGAAGTTCATTTTCAGAATATTCTTCTGTGAGTGGTGGTTCACAAATTCCACTTAATGACAGATCTGTTAACTGTCTCCAGTGCATAGCTTTAAAATTGATAGTTGTGATTCTTTTTAATTTTTCTTGGTTTTTTCCCCACTCTTGAAAGAATATAAAAATTAATTTGATTTATTTTAAACGGAAAAAAATTGCACTCTGTACTGCTTTAATATTTATGTTGAAATTAGATAAAATCCTTAAAATGATTCCATAAATCGGTATAACTAATTTAGTCATTTTTATATGAATAAATATTTACTAACCTAATGGCCAAAATTCTTTTTATAGCTTCTTCCCTCACTTCCCGTTCATCAGATTTGACCATTGAATATAAGATATTTTCAGGCAGTAAGGCGAAAGCATTGTATTGTATATTTTTCAATGTGATCTGTTGGATTTCATATGGTTGCTTCCTAATCCTTTGGATCATATTGAAAATATACTTTTGCTGATTGTGGAATTGTTATTTCTTTTATTTTCGAACCGGCAAATGGCATACACATTCACAATAAAATTTATTAAACTGTGGAGTTTGGTTGAAATATTTCGTGGGTAGGCACCATGAGTCCATAAGCACATCAGACTGATGCCTAAAGTTAACCACCTTGCCTGGTTTAATGGACCAATTTTCCATGATGCAAATCTAAAGTCCACCTTACCTCTACAAATACCCACTGTAGATTCATAAAGGAGTCTTTGGTCACAACTAAGGGTATCTGCATTTTCAATTTTAAAAATAGAATCCAGAGGACTACCAACGGCTGAAAATGATATTTGGGGTAAATTTTGGTAATCATTTGCACGTAATCTTCCAAGTGGACCATTGAATGTGGCAGGGCTATTTTGTGGTACCATCTACATGTTTAAAAAGAGCTCTAAATGGAAGTTTATTTTGGTGCAAGGAGCAACCAATAGTATGAAGATTTCTGTTAAGTTTTCTTTCTAGAGGTGCAGCAAATCCACCTTCACAACCTGAATTGGCATTAGTGTTTGTCAACAAGGATAGCCTTGATAGTGCTCGCACTGTTGAATTAATGCAAAACATCACTTTTTTCACTAACCTTTGCTCTATCAATTTTACATTTATCTATATAAATATATTTTTATATTAATATTGGGGATGAGAAAGCCCATAGACCTCAAATCCAAGAGCAATGTATTGGCAAGGCTGGCTCCAAGATTGTAAGATACATCACCCCTGATCAACTCAACAGCATACCGTGGAATTTTGATAAGGCTAGCCGCTATATAGCCAAAATTTCATGGTATGCTTGGCCCCATTGGGATGCTTTTTCCTGCCATTTTATTAAAATATCTGACAAAGAAAATATATGTATTATCAGAAATTATACAAAAATATTTTTTCAAAATAAATTGGAAAATAAAGCTTGAAATGCATTATTAAATTAAAAAGTAATGTTTATATAAAATTAGAGTTAGTTCCGGGATTAGCTTGTAAACAGGCTTTTTAATAAAACATTAATTTTCAAAAATATAAACAAATTACAATAATTATAAAAGTTGTATTTTTTTTTTTAAATAGTTAAGTATATTTTGATGAAAACTAAAATAGATATTTGCGCTAGTTAAAATCGTAAACAAAAATAAAACTAACATACAAGAGGAGGTAATTACTACCGGTGAATACCGAAAAAATATCCAGTAAAAACGACGCCGTTCATGAGTAGTTATTTGTATTTTAAACTAAATATTTTAGTGTGTTTTGTTTTTTTATTTGTAGTAATTTCATTTAATTTAATAAGAGAATAGATAATAGACTCAAAAATATCCATTATTAAGCGTTATTTTCTTTTTTTCTTTTCGTTAAGACTCGGTTTTAATTTAACATACACATGTCTCCGGTGACACCGTTATGATGAAAAAATTCGCAATTTATTTTGTCTTTAAGTTCGATTGCTCAAATAAATACGAAGTTTTGAAGAAAAATATTTTTTGTGGTAATTTTTGACGTTATATTGCAACTTTCCTCGAGTTATTCTTTTTATAGTTCAAAAATCGACCTACCCTAATACATATATATATATATTCCTGTCCACCTTCACAGTACAGGAAAATATTTGTTGACAACACCAAATTATTTGAACTTCATTTCTAGTTTCACCTCCCAATTATTCTTTGAAAAAATCTGAGAACTCGACACAGATTTCATTGCAGAGAAGTATAATTTTTGCACCTTCAATAGTGTTTTGACTTTCGATCCATCTCATCCCAAGAGCATTGTCCGCAGGTGGCAATGTAGGGAATCGACCTTTACTTACCAGTCCTTGGATTCTTGATTTTGGTCCATGAAAGCTCTCAGCACAGGCAGGTCGTGCTTGCTGGCAGATTCATAACGATGCCTGACATCATCCATTTTCGGTTCTCATAGTTGTTTCCAGACCGATAAAGAAATTAAATTTCCCGTAGTTGCAGTGTCCAGTTCGATCGTTAACACTCGGTCCTGGATTGTGATTGGCACAACCAAGCTAGAAGTATCATGGAGAACTTCACCGAGGAACGTTTTGACAAGCTCTGCATTCGGGATTCTGTTCACGGAAGGTAAGGAACGATGTTCCCGTTGCTTCTTCCTATAAACAGCTTCCAAATATCCTTTCTTGTCATCAGAGTGGTATTTAACTTGTCACTTTATGCGCCTTTCCACATCTCAAACATACAGGGTCTGTAGAATTAGACTGCTTGTCGTTTTTTCCATTGAGATTTATTCTGGCTCTGCTTCACCTTTTTAACGGGTCTAGTCTTGGATCAGTAAACAGTTTCCTTGTTAAGCTTCGCAGCGTTTTCGGTCTCAATAGCGAACGGGCAAATTCCAGCTCTGCCCCCTTGATCTTGAAAAAAACCTTCTTTGTTGAAAGAACTTATGTATCTCTATTTAACAGCTTCATCGTGTGAGTCGGTGATTGAAGGGAAGTCACATGTAGAAGCGACTTGACGTATACGCGCTGCCATCTGGAGAGTTTTGCCTCGCTTCCGTTGTATGTCACTCCAGAAATTGAAACGTTCTTTCAATGAAACGTTTTGGGGCAAATTGTTCTTTCATAAAGTTGACGATTTCCTCCATTGTCAACTCGTTAATATACTTGGGCGGATTCTGTTAAGTAGACAAATTCACCAGTTGTTTATAGATATCAGAAGTTTCATTTATCAAGAAAACCTGAGTCTTGAGCTGATTAGGCATCGCGTTGACTTCTTGACCAGAAATCGGACCACAGTTCTGATGTCGTATCAAAAGCAGCAAATGATGGAATACCAGCTGAAGAAGTTGAAGACGGGAACATGGACTTGAATCCCTTTCGGAAGTTTGAAATTGAATCCGCCTTCTCGTGTCTTCTGTGTGCAGCTGCGCCTGTTCCTCCAATTGTTCCCTCTGGAGTTGATGTTGTTGCGTGAATAACTTAATCAGCTCGCCATTTTGTTCCTTCATGGTTGTCGAAGTAAACAGTCCACTCGGCAAGAATAGTCTTTGTTATCCTATCGGCGACACCACAGCGATAATCAAAATAGCTTAATTAGCTGTCTCTCCAACAGTTTATAATGGGCAAAGGCAAGGGTAAAGGCAAAAAGACAAGCAAACCACTCCACCTGCCTTGCTTATATAGAAGTGCGATTCTAGAGAGTTCTACAATTTTCCATTCAATTATATTGAACAGATTAGCATACTAGTAATTTGAATTGGACATATCTAGATGCAAGCGATCTCCACAACAATTGTTAAAGCACATAATTTAGTAATGAATGTTAATCATATAGCCCGAATGTTATACAGTAAAAATGTGTAAAGAAATTCAGCTAATAACTATAAGTTAGGGTACGGATTTCTTGATCCACTCTTGTATATTCCTACTTTATTAGTTCCTTAATTTCCATATTGAATAAAAACAACCATGTTCTGTAAGCTTGGATGTGCGTGTGGTGCAATGGATACAGAAAGCTGAGTTTCAATTCCAGTTGGGTTCATTACATTTACTTACGCGAAAATACCTTTGGGTAAGCTATTAATCCACCTTTGTCCCCCGGCTATGAGTTACTTATATCACTAAATTATTATCTTAAAAAATATTACTATCTAAAAATATTTTCTGGATGTAAATAACATGAAATGTGTTGATAAGCGGTAGAAAACGAATTAATTCATTTTGTGATTCATTTTTTTTTTTTTTTTTGATGAGGGAAAACTATGAAGGAATTATGTCTTCCGCGTATGGAGTAAACTAAAATGGCTACACTCCCAATTTTCTATAGATCCAAAATCTTTTAGAATCTATTTTATTTTGATCAGATTAATAAATACCGACCCAGTCAATCAAGTTTAAATTGTCTCATCAAACTTTCTGTTCTTAGTGGCATTATTACACATTGGAATTTATGCCACTACACTTTCCGTATCTTTCCCTAGAATAATCTTGACAGCCTCAAGAGCGCAAGACGTCAGTAATTCTTCGGTGATTGTATGCGTTTTATTTTTTTATTTTTAGCCACTTGATATGCAATTTTATAGGTTTTCCAATTGATGGCAATATCAACTTTCGTAAAGTTACTTAACGACCAAACTTGCCTCCCACGCTTTGAGTGTTTCTTTGTTGTCTCCAGCTTCTCTACTACTGTATACACTTTTAAAAAATTCATCGAGCTTAGCTTAAGTTTGCATTTGAAAATACCAATGAGTATAAAATGCATAGAGGCCTTTCTGTTCATCTCTTCTGTTTATGCAAGTGAAACCCCAAGCGAATACAATCATTCTTCTAATTGTTTTTCTTTTTGACATTTTGGGTCAGCTCTTTGAAAAGAAAAGTGAACTCACTTTATTATGCTCTAAATGAGACGACGACTAAATAGTTGAAATAATTGAATTTCTCAAACTCCACCCAAACGGGGGCGGAGAGAGGTCACACGGGTCGGTTAAGTCAAACGGATGCTCATTTTTAAATTATTTTTTATTTCATTTTACATGTGATGCAATTTTGTTTTTATATTATCAGTCTTTGTGTGCTGTATGTGTTTGTGTCTATGGCCAGTGTGTATTTCTCGACTTCCATTTTATCTTATCACCTTTATCTCGCCTGAAAGAATTTTTAAATATTTTCCTCACACCACCAAGAACTGAATCTTGTATCCCTTGGGGTGCCGGGTAAAAACTATGGTTCTAGTGACATTGGCAGAAATTTAAATGCATTTTTCAAACACTTCCACTTTATACGTTTTTTCCTAATTGACTGCGCCAAAGAGAATAAGAAGGTTAGTAACGAAGGAAGGATGAGGAGAATAAGAGATTAATAACGAAGCAAGGAGGAGGAGAATAAGAAGGTTAAGAATGAGGGCAGTAGGAGGAGAATAAGAAGGTTAGAAACAAAGGAAAAAGGAGGAGGAGAATAAGAAGGTTAAGAATGAGGGCAGTAGGAGGAGAATAAGAAGGTTAGAAACAAAGGAAAAAGGAGGAGGAGAATAAGAAGGTTAAGAATGAGGGCAGTAGGAGGAGAATAAGAAGGTTAGAAACAAAGGAAAAGGAGGAGGAGAATAAGAAGGTTAAGAATGAGGGCAGTAGGGAGGAGAATAAGAAAAGGAGGAGGAAACAAAGGAAAAAAGGAGAGGAGAATAAGAAGGTTAGAAACAAAAGAGGAAGAGGGAAGAAGGAGGAGAAAAAAGAAGGAGGAGAAACAAAGGAAAAAGGAGGAGGAGAATAAGAAGGTTAAGAATGAGGGCAGTAGGAGGAGAATAAGAAGGTTAGAAACAAAAAAAAAAAGGAGGAGGAGAATAAGAAGGTTAAGAATGAGGGCAGTAGGAGGAGAATAAGAAGGTTAGAAACAAAGGAAAAAGGATGAGGAGAATAAGAAGGTTAAGAATGAGGGCAGTAGGAGGAGAATAAGAAGGTTAGAAACAAAGGAAAAAGGAGGAGGAGAATAAGAAGGTTAAGAATGAGGGCAGTAGGAGGAGAATAAGAAGGTTAGAAACAAAGGAAAAGGAGGAGGAGAATAAGAAGGTTAAGAATGAGGGCAGTAGGAGGAGAATAAGAAGGTTAGAAACAAAGGAAAAAGGAAGAGGAGAATAAGAAGGTTAAGAATGAGGGCAGTAGGAGGAGAATAAGAAGTTTAGAAACAAAGGAAAAAGGAGGAGGAGAATAAGAAACTTAAGAACGAAGGCACGGGGAGAGCGAAAATAAAAAGAAAAGGACAAAGGAGTTTCAATTAATTAAGGAATACGAAATAAGAAAAAAGTTACATTTGGAATTGCAAAATAATATTGAAGGCTGCCTTTATGGTAATGGATTTCTTGAGTGAAGTGTTTAAGACTTTCATCAACACACCAAGAGATGCCAGAAATGAAATCATCTTATGTTGTCAAAGCCGATAAATTTCCATGTTACAAACCCTAAAATTCGCTTCGTAACAGGCAAAATTTTGCTAATGCGCATTTGTTCAAATTTTAATTTGATGAAGCATTAATAGAACGTTTCCGGAAATAAATTTGGTGTTTAATTTTTTTAAATTTTTTTTTATGTGTTCCTTTAGGACTTGAGTGTTTATTTGTAGCTCATAGCAATGTTTGCTTTCTTACTCCCATTCTTTGTTTGGTCATCCAGCTACAAAAACTTTATCAACCTGTCTATCTTGTCTTCAATATGTTCTCTGTGAATCACATTCTCCAAGCTCCTTCTCTGTGAATTACATTCTCCAAGACCTTTCTCTGTGAATCACATTCTCCAACTTCCTTCTTTGTGAATGACATATTAAAAGTCCCTTTTTTGTGAATCACATTCTCCAAGCTTCTTCCCTGTGAATCCCATTCTCCAAGCTCCTTCTCTGTGTATCACCCTCTCCAAGCCCCAGAAATGTCCCCGAATTATTCACATTGTCCTTTTTGTTTCCATTTTGCCGAAAACTTCCACGTTGCTGATAGTTTCCGTCCATCGTATCCTCAGCATCCTTCTTTCAGACCACACATCTGTTGCCACAATTATCCTCTTCATCTTGGGAGAAACTGTGCAGCATTCACAGCCATATAGGCAAATTGAGGCCATATGAACGTTCAGCGCACTCCCCTTTGTTTCTGGTTAAATATTCATGTCTCTTTATACTTGGCATAGTTTCTGGGAAACATCTTTGGCTATGCCATTGCACCTCGAGATGTTTCTGTTGTTTAATAAAGCATTTCCAAGAAAAGTGAAGTCTCTCTCTGCCTGTCTGTATCTCTGCCCCATTTCTTTATCTCTCTCTCTCTCTCTCCCATTTCTTTCTCCCCCTCTATTTTTCTATGTCTCTGTATCTCTCTCCTTTTTCTTTCTTTCACTCTCTTTCCCATTTCGCTCTCTCACACAACAAATACTTACTCTGTCCCCAATTACTCTCTTTTACATTTCCTTCACTCTCTTCCATTTATTTCTCTCTCTCTCATTTCTTTTCCTCTCTCCCATTTCTTTCTTCCTCTCCCATTTTTCTCTCTCTCCCATTTCTTTTTCTCTCTTCCATTTCTTTCTTTCCCTCATACATTTCTTTCTTTCTCTCTCCCCATTTCTTTCTCTCTCGCGCCCCCATTTCCTTCTCTCTCTCTTTCTCACTCACTCCCAATTCTCAATTATTCTCTCTCTTTCACTCTCCTCATTTGTCTCTCTCGTTCCCCTCATTTCATTCTCTCTCACTCCCCTTATTTCTCTCTCCTTCTCTCTCTTTCTTTCTTTTTCTCTCTCTCTCTCTTTCTCTTCTGTCACACAGTTACACAATGATTTCGTTGGCTCATCTAACACAAACCTTTTTTCGATTAAATGATTTATTTTTTAATTTATTTTTTAATTTATTTATTTACTTTTTTCAACTTGCAAAAACACATTTCCTTTAAATGTTTAAATATCTGACTTGGGCTGGCCTGATACGAACATCCTTGAAATTGAAAAGGATAATAGCTATGACCTGAATCTAAAAGGGGTCAAAATAGAGTTGAACTTTATAATAATCGATATTCAATCAATACTCTTATTACTGGCAAGGCAAAATCGGATTTCGTGTCCCCGTTTATCCGGTTAAACTGTAATGAGTTTATATATATATAGGAGGGAGACTCCCAATGGAATACCTGCTCCTTATTCCCACGGAAATTACGTCAGGTAGAGTATTCTGCGCAGTTGGTTTGCGCCAGCACCCCTGGCTATCATCTTTTAGAAGGTGTCTTGATTTCATGGGTTGACAATTGTTCCAAGCTACCCATAACATGTCTTCTCCCACACATTGCTATCGTCACTGCTGACTTGCATTATGCACCAACTACTTTTGCTAATATCCACTATTTGGTCTCTATAACCATTCAGCAAATGTATATGAATGACAATCCAATTCACCACATCTGCTTTGTATGTATTTGCATATCAAACGCAATTTATCTAGACTACTATAAGTAACAAGGCCAAGAAACCTACAGGTTATTAGTAGGAAGGCTTAAATTGTATGAATATGCCATAAAAATAACGCTCTTTTGATATGAGCCTTGATAAATAAATAAGACATTACACTTGCTAACCAACTCACAAAAAGCGATCATGTACGCACTGAAAATTTAAAAAGCATTGAAATGAATTAGCAAATATATTTGTAATTGTCGCCATATATATATATATATATATATATATATATATATATATATATAGATAGATAGATAGATAGATAGATAGATAGATTAATGGGCAATGGACTTATCTCATTGAACCACTCAAGAGTTTCGAGTAAAGATAGCCCCTGATAAGACTATTAAAATTATTACTAAACCTGCATAAACAAACGCTGGTCATAAAATTATGTCAGAGTTCGTTAAGAACGCGACAACATTTGTCCCTTTGTTCACAGTAAATTCAATAATAATCATGTAATCTTTTAATAAATTTAAGTACCGTCTACCTTTTATCGAACTTTTCAAATTTTCGAATAAGTTTTTACACATCCGGATCTAAATTGTGTATAATGTATCCAAAGTTCATGTCTTTTTTTTTTGGGGGGGGGCTGTTTCTGTCCAAGTACTTTACATCGTTTCGATCATTATCAAGAACTAAATGTTGTAAGTATCGTAGTATCAAGTATTGTTAGCTACATCCTGACATTTTAAAATATTACCTTTCAGTTTTAAAGAGAAAAATAATACAAGTAATATAAAGAATAAATCTTTATAAATAAGTAGGTGATGAAATTTAGATAGAAATAAAGTGAAAATAACATTAAAATGAATATTAACCTTCAAATTTCAATAGATTAAGTTGGAAAAAGGAATTGATGTCATTGCATATGGCGAGGTAAAAATAGAAGAACGGGAGATAAAGATGAGCTTGGATCGATTCGGTGACCATCAACACTCCGATGAGAGATCGAATTTTATGCCTTTTGTTTTTTACGAATGTAAACGTACATTTTAAATTTTTAAATTTCTATATTATTATATTAATTTATTAATATTTATTATAAAGTATTACTAAAGAGGTTAAGTAACAATGTTTGAAACAAATAATAGAAAAATAATAAAAGTACCCAAAATAAAATTAAAATTATCATATATTACGGTTAGCTTACAGAAGTAAGAAAAAATTAGAATATATTTTAGGTCTCAAAATGAAATATATAATACAAGTACAATTAGGGGGTATATTAACGGTGGTTACGATTCTGTGTTTATAAACATAAGAAATATAAAGGGATTCATTTATAGATTAGAAATTTCTATAGCAATATTGTAAGTTTAATTCCTTTGTATGTTTACAATTTATTGCCGTTTCATATCTCCGATTCAACAGATTGTCATTGTTCGAGAATTTAATTATTTGTATTTTCTCCTGCAGGCAGAGAAAGCAGGGTTCGTTTAGGGACCTCGAAATTCTAGCTTGTTTTAGGATTTTCCATTTAACTTTGGATGTTTTATCTTTGTCGTTTAATTCCCAAAAATACTTAGAAAGTGAAGCCATGTTTCGTTTATCTGAGATATAGTTATAAAAGCGCTTTTTGAAATTATTCATTGTATTTTCGATGTAAAAGCGATTCAGAAGTCCTGGGATTTTCAACCGAGATAGAGATACACCCGTATATAATGGATTTTGTTAAACACTTGTTGGATAACGGGCACTGGTTCGGATTTTTACAATTTCACAGGTTATTTGTAAGAGACCTAGTAGTGTTAGCTCTAGTATACTCATTACTCTTGTTATATAATTTTAATATTTTAGTATTGTATGATTTAATTATTTTTTTCTAAATTATTTGTGCAACTGTAGCTAAGTTTTATAGTGTTACGGTTAAAAGTTTTCCTCAGAGAGCTCTTTTTAAGGAAATGCTTTTCAACTAATTCTTAGAATTTATGCCCTAATTTAGTGCGCATTAATTGATTATATGGAGCAGTATATCATATGATCTCCCTTTTTCTGTTTATCTTCTTCGAATGATCATAATTTTCCACAAATTCAATTTTTTTCTCAACATTTATTCTCCTTTTCTTGTCCTTTTTTCCTCTTAATTCTCTCCTCTCTCTAGCTGTTACGAATCACTTAGCTTCCTTTCTTTCTCCACATGTAAATTCTTTTTTACCTTTTATGGGAAACTTTCCAATGACTACATAATAAATAAATATTTATTGCTCTACTTTTGTATTGAACCTTGTTTTAAATTAATGTTTTAACCGCTGAAATCTTACCATTCGTTCTTTTTATATTTGGGTATATATATATATATATATATATATATATATATATATATATATATATATATATATATATAAATGTGTATGTAGTGTTAATAAGTATTTGATGAATTTTCACGGAAACTTAATGCTACGCGACATGCGCCAATTTTTTCAATGTCATTCTCTGGGTGTCCTCGAGGCTAAATGCCGTTTAAATTAAAATTTCTGTATCCTTATTTTATAATTTGGTTACAGGACATGAACTGTAGATAAACTGTGTGAATATAAAAAGAACACTGCATGGTATCTGGCAGTTTCACGCTTTATATATATATATATATATATATATATATATATATATATATATATGTGTGTGTGTGTGTGTGTGTGTGTGTCTGTGTGTGTGACTTTTAGTAACAAATTCTCTTGTAGGCATGTCTGATTAAATAAATCACAAACATTATGTCTGTTTTTTAGTATAATCTTTTCATATTCACAAATATTTTCCGTGTATTACAATCAAATAAAGCAAGAAATGCACTGTAACTGGAAAGTACTACCCAGGAAAATATTTGTGAATATGAAAGGATTATGCTAAAAATAAGCAGGTATAAACTGTTGGAAGGCAGAGAGGTGGCTCTCAGATGAATAATGGACAGAAGTTTAGTTTTGGAGGCATTAAAATTGACAAGTCATCTTTTGCCTCTGTTAACAACGGTGTTGAGATCGTTTTGTACATCGGCTACAATTTTGACATTGTCTGACTGATCAGTTTTATTATCGACACAGGAATAAACAATAGTGCCGTCAGCATAGATGCCAAGTTGAAAGCTGATCTCATCGGGAAAGTTATTAATGAAGATTAAATCAGCGTAGGCCCAAGAATGGGGAATACACGGGTTAGTGCGAAAGGAAGTAGACGAGTGTTAGTTCAGGACAAGTTTGTTAGGAACGACTGAATCAGCTCGAAATCGTTCCCGGAGATACCGTAGCTTTTCAGTTTGTGAAGAAGATCTGGATGCCAGAACCTGCCAAAGGCTTTCGAGATGTCCAATGCTAAAGCTCGGGCTTCACTGTTTTTATCTCGAGCATGATCGACGCTTTCTGCAGTTTTTCTTAATACATCAGCAATTTATCGGGAGAAACGAAAACCGTATCGCTTGTCTGAGAAAAGGTCCTGCGATGAAAGATAATGAACCAATTCAGCATTGATTATGGCATCTAAGAGTTTCCCGAAAAAGGCAGTAGTCTAATAGGTCAATGGTTGGATGGGTTAGAGGGTTTAGAGGGTTCACCTGAGTTCTTAAAAACTGGAGCAACAGACGATGACTTCCATCAAGCAGGAAAGGAGACAGCGTGGCATTTATTATACAGTTTAGAAAGGACAGAAGCTAGTTCGGGAGCACACTTCTTGGTGACTATACCAGGGATTCCATCGGGTCTACATGCCTTGTGGGAATCAAGCTTAGAGAAGATAGCAGAAACTATGGAAAGGGTGATATGCATATCACTCAACAGAGAATCAGTTCTAAGTGGGAAATTAAGCAGGGATATTCCAGATGAGTAAAGTTTGGAGAGAATTTACGGTCAAAGCATTTAGCTTTATCAGCCGAGGATGATAGCACCTCAAATCGATTGAAGATGGGGGAATAGAGGCCTTGCAATTATTTAGTACCCTAATGAATAGACGCCAGTAATCGCGGGAGCCAAAGTTTTTAGAGGCTATGTGTTGCCTCATTCTCTCAGCAAGCAGGGACTTAGCTTTTCGAATACTAGCTTGCATTTGTTATGAGCAGTAGCAAATAGGCAACTGTTATGATGAGAGCCGTCACGCTGGTATAGCCGGAAATAGTGATCCCTGCGTGCTATAGAAGCCAAGCATGCTGGTGTAAACCATGGAGAGGATTGTGGTTTCACCTGGTATTGCCAAGAAGGGATGAAAGCGTCGATTTTTTTTGACCAAAGAAGAAACTTCAGTGGCGCAATTTGCAATTGGGAGGTTATATCAGATATGTTCAAGGGGCGTCACGAAGAAAATCCCAGAATGAGTTCCAATCAGTATGCTGGTACCGGAAA